TTAGAACATAAATAATTAGTTAATCACTTTTCTATCAGTTCAAAATTTTGAAATAATTTGTTGAATATAAAAGAAATAAATGAAAGGAAGGTACATATAGATATGTGTGTTAGTCTTGATGTAATTGGATTATATATTGTGTGCATGTAGATATATAATACCGTAACGGCGCAGTCGTGGAAGTGCAATCTGATGAGACTGGGTGCGAGAGTGGGATCCTTGTGGATCCAGTGCTTTAGTTTTCTGTTGATGATCCTTTCAAGATCTGGACAGCTATGGCGATAGTAACCGAAGGAGAGTAGATTAGTGAAAGGCAAATCATCTGGCAATATGGGGATATCTAGAGAAGGTTCAGGAAGAGAGTGTGTTAGGATTAAGCACTCAAGAGAAAGGAGGAGAAAGAGAAAAGAAATGGAGGATTTCATGATTTAGTTTCCTTTTTATGATTGCGTTTTCTTTAGTGTTTTCCTAAAGAATGAAGGTTAATTTCCAAAATATATGTATCATATCTATAAATACACAAGATATACAGTTGCAGTGTCCATGGAAGTCGGTAGGTTGTAATTGGAAGTGGCAGGCACGTCTAACCTCCGATAAACAGATATGCTTGCATGTAGAGCTTTGAAGTATGCATGACTTATTGAATCTTTCATCATGCCTGCACATAGATATAAATTAATATTTATATGCGCGATAGATTTAATATATTTGTATATGCCATTCACCTGGCCTTGAATCTCGATGCCCATTTCATAACATGAGTCAAACACACACACACACACACACACATATATATATATATAATATAGGCGCTAAAGTAAAAATACGATCAAGGGCTTCTAGCAAGGGAAGGGAACTTGTACCTTCCCATTGTACGGGCTCAGTTCCTAGGCCCAGTAATTTAGCAACTCGTTCTTTTAAAAAACTTTCTAAAAGCTTTTCTTGTTTCAATTTAAAATTTAGGACGACGATAAACATATTAAAAAAATTAAGTTATTACATGAGACTCTCTGAATAGTAATTTTATATTCTTGAACATTGATTTTTTTTTCTTTTATTTATCATTTTTTTTCTGATAAAATAATAATAAATAGTTTTTGTTTTGTCTACAAAATCGACTGAAATACGAGGTCTTAGGTGATTAAATCTGACTCTGCGTCAACTCTCACATGCAAATTATCTTTTCTCTTTGCTTTTTGCTCATTCTAGTTAGTTGATTTTTTTTTTTCAAAATCCATGCAACTTATTGTTCATTCTTATTTAGAAAATATTTTATTTTCAAACCGTTTTCTTAATTTAGTCGCGGGATAAATTCATCTGAAAGTCTGAGTTCTCTCTATCTTTCAAATGATATTCTTATGTTAAAAGTTATGTACGAATTAAAATGAATTCCGATTAAAGAATTATGTTTTAAAATTAGGATTCTTGATCTAAAAAAATTAAAATTTTAATTCATAATTCAAATAATAATAGATAACTATGATATTTAAGTATTTTTATATTTTTCTAGAAAAATGTAAATATAAGTTATGAATCTGTGTATTTTTATTAAAAAATTATATTATTTGTGTTCTTATTTTATTATTGAAATATAAATATTACCTAGTTAATAAATTTGAACTTAAAAAATAGTTATAATGCTATCTTTATCTATTGTTCAACTAACCTTAATGCATAAAATCTTTCTAGACCATATATAAAATCAAACAGAATGAAATATTAGTGTTTAAATAATTTTCGTCCAAAGTCAGAGTTTGCCTATTTAAGATACCAACATTTGCATCCATAAAAATTCATATTTCTTTACAGGAAATATGAAACAAACAAACAAAAAATGGAGGAATTTGCTTCAAGCAGTAACAATTTTCTCACAAGTAAGACAATTTCAGACATTTATGCAGCATTACCCACTTTTCTGAATGCCCAATCTCTATTCAACTTTCCTTTTCTTCTATCCATCGTCGTCTCAGATCGCATTTCAGACTTGGAAGCACAGAGCAATACACAAACCTTGCTGCTTCCAGGGAGTAAAAAATGATCCAACTCCAAGTTTAAGTGTTATAATTATTCGTTGAATACTTTTTCCATTCATTTCCAGAACATCAATGTGCAGTCTTTATCCTCACTAACTCAACTTTTAACATAATCCTCATATTCTTACTCAGACCCCTCAGTGAGTTGCTCTCAATTGCTAACTCAAAACTCTTAGTGAACTCAGCCAAGCAACAAAGTCAAAACCCAATTCAGTGTACCAATGGGCTTGGAGTTTTGTGTGTCTGTCGGAATGGCAGAGGAGAAGCCGCGGCTGAGGGGGAATATGGTAGGATCTCTCTTAATAATAAAATTTTTTAAATTAAATAATGGTAACACTTAGAATCTCGTCAAACTGATATTTGTACTGTTAGTTATTAAAAGATTCAAGTATTTAACAAAAATTGTTATGAATTATGCTTTTTAATATACACTTAATTAATTTTAAAATGACAAAAATTTGTCTACTAATAAAAATTAATTATTAAAATTATTCTAATAATTTAAGTTAGTTTCATAATATTTATTTTAATACAAATATTACTTTTAAATTATTATTTAATTCAAATAAATTTTTTAAGTTACATATAATATATATATGTATATATATATGAAATGATTAGTACTATTAATATTTTATTTTAATTTAAAAGTACAAAATCAATAAATTAGTAAAATATAAATTTAATGAATACGTACATTAAAACTATTATTAAACTACTTTCTACTTTTTCAAGTAAATATTTATTTTCAGCTCTAATTTTTCATTCATAAAAAATTCATAACGCTTTTGACTTTGGAATTTTATCAGCAAAAAACTGAAACATTTAAGAGGGATGATTCGCTCTTTCTATAAATAAGTGATAATAGTGGAATAAATATTTTATTATAAACCGATAATTCTCTTCTGTATATATATATATAATTCAATGACTTAATTTTCTTATAAGAAAATTCAATGATTAATTTTGTTAATTGAACCGGTTTTATGTATGAACGTCTGTGTATGTATACATATATATATATATATATATATATGTATACACATTATCTCTTTGACTGCGAGTTCTTCTTTAGATGATTACAAATATTTAAAACATTAACTAAGCATTCTGATGGCCTAAATCAATGAAAACACGATCGAGTTAGGTGTTCTTGCAGCATTCGCCAAACCTAGCAAAGTTGACCATCAGTATGCTTACAAAGCGATTCATTTTCTGACATATATATATATATATATATATATATAT